AACTGTTCCATGCGAATTACCGAAGGATAAAGGTACTCGACACGAGGTCGAGCTTAAACCAGGCTCGAAGTACTGTGTCATAAAGCAGTGGCCACTGCCTTGTGAACAAGTACTTGCGATCGACTAGTTCTTTGCCGATCTTTTAGATGCGGGCCATGTGAGGGAACCAACTTCCCCACATAGCTCTCCGACCTTCTGTGTGCGAAACGCAACAGGAGGGTGGCGGATTTGTGCATGCGTTCAACAAGTTGAATGCTGCAACGGTACCGGCTCAGACGCCGATACCAAGGAAGGACGTAATCATTGATGGTATGTCAAAGAGTACCATCTTTTCGTCCATGGATTTGATGGATGGCTTCTATCAAATCCTTATGCGAGAACGGGATATACCCTATACCGCAGTTAGCACGCCTAGCGGCATGCTCTGGGAATGGCTAGTAATGACACAAGGGCTTAGTAATGCCCCTGCCACGTTCAACAGATGTGTATCACATCTGTTGAGACCAGTACGAGAATTCGCGCCGAGTTATTTCGATGACTTATTCATCCATAGTCGGGCTATGGATGGAAAGTCGGACGTTGAGGTTCACAGGTATCACGTCCGACAGGTTCTTACAATCATGCGAAAGCATCAATTGTATGCAAACCTCAAGAAGTGTATATTTGAAGCAAGCGAAATACCACTTCTTGGGTGCATCGTTGGTAAGAACGGTGTACGTCCTGATCCCGAAAAGATCAAGGCAATTACCGACTGGCATGTGCCAGTTGATGTCAAAGGTCTTCGGAAATTCCTTGGGCTAGCGGTGTATTTGCATAAGTATTCACGCAATTACGCCGAGATGACTGTACACCTCTCTCGTTTGTTAAAAAAAGGGTTATGGAACGCTGAATGTCAGCTCTCCTTTGATGGTATCAAGGAGATCTTGATACAATCCCCAGTCCTCGCAATAGCCGATCAGGACAGGCCATTTCATGTGGTCTGTGATGCCAGCGATTTTGCAATCGGCCGTGCATTAATGCAGTACGATATTGAAGGCGTTGAACGCGTCGTCTGCTATCAGTCGCGTCAGCTGCAACCAGCTGAGCGGAACTATCCAGTGCATGACAAGGAACTCTTTGCCATGAAGTATGCACTCGCGAAGTTCAGAGTCTATCTATTAGGAGATAGACCCTTCATTGTTTACACTGACCATGCATCATTACGCACGGCAGTGAACAGCCCGCACCTTTCACAACGAATGGCGCGGTGGTTGTAATTATTTGCAGAGTACAACTTTACGGTCGAGTCCAAACCAGGACGACTTAATGTCGTCGCTGATGCACTCTCACGTCGTCCCGACTTTGAACCAGTCGTGAAACCCAACAGTGAGACAGCCACTGTTGCGGTTATGACGTCCTCAGTACCATCTTCAACGTTGCATGATAATGTGAGGCGGGTATACGCCCAAGATGGTGAGATTGTGAAGTTGTTGAAACATCTCTCACAGCCATCTCGAGAATCGTTGAAACAATTATCGTCTGCGTATCGATCTGCATCAGATCGATACACTACTCGCAACGGTTTACTGTATTATACAGCCGTTACTGGTGACACACCACGTGTTGTCATTCCAGATGATGCTGATCTGCGTTTGCGGATCATGTTCGAACATCACGATGCTTCTATAGAAGGACATCGTGGCAGTGAGAAAACATATCTCACGGTGAGTCGTGACTTTTACTGGCCCCGCCAGTATCAGTTTGTGCGAAAGTATACTCGCGCATGCGAAGTCTGTCAACGAGTGAAGTCAAGTCCTTCACTGCGTGCACCTGTACAGCCTCTACCAGGCCCGGCAGAGTGCTGAAATCCATCTCAATCTATTTCGTCTTCGGGTTACCCAAAGACGCACGCGGGAATACGGGTATTCTCGTATTTGTTGACAGATTCAGCAAAATGGTACACCTTGTGGCTGTACCAGAGACAATCACGGCAAGTGGATGTGCTTGCGTCTTTATTGACACCATCTTCCGAATTCATGGGTTGCCCCGTGAACTCGTATCAGACAGAGATCCACGATTCACTGCTGATTTCTGGCGTTCCGTGTTCAAATCACTCGGAACGCGCTTGAAAATGTCTACATCTGATCATCCAGAGTCAGATGGTCAGACGGAACGTGCCAGTCGTGTCCACGAAGAGATACTTCGAGGATACGTACACTCCTTTAAGATTCGGAGTACGTTCTTGCCAATGGTAGAGTTTGCCGTTAACAACTCGGTGCATGCGTCCACGACACATACACCGTTTTACGTGAATGGCTTGCGCCATCCGCGTGTACCCACCTTACTAGAGTATAACTCTGGTTCAAGGGGGGAGGGACTCGCGCGAGCAAAAACCGATTTGGTTCACGCTCATCACGCTCTGACGAAGAAGTCATTGCGTTTGATGCCGATATCGATGACATCGATATCGAAGAAGATGATGCCAGTGAGAGTGCGGAAGCCCTCACTGAAGAAAAGGTTGATGTTGCTGCAGTGCGCTCACAGCGCACTGAAGCTAACGAGTCAGCAGATGATTTCACACCGGCTCGTGGAACGGTAGTCCGTTTTGTGCAAGACTCCATCGCCGAAGCGGTGGATAAGCAAAAGCAAAACGCTGACAAGAATGGAAGGGCAAACACTCTTTTATTTAATAAAGGTGACTTAGTCCTACTGTCTACGGTTAATCTACCAAAGCATGTAGTGACTAACTTGGGTAGCAGTAAACTACTACCCAAGTACATCGGCTCATTTCGTGTATTGCACCGCCTAGGCAATGCATACACGATCGAGTTACCACGTAAGATGCGAACGCATCCCACGTTTTACGTTGGTCGGCTTAAGCCGTACCATCAGTACGCTGCTTCTTCCGATGAAGAATGCCCTTGCGCTGAAGCATCTCGCAGAGAGCCTTGTGCTCCCGATGGTGGGCATCAACAAGGGTCTGAAGAGCAGCTATCTCATCCCGAGACCGATCAACATTCCCACGAGCTACCCTTAGCTCGTCACGAAGAGATGTCAGAGCTCTCTCGTTCTCAAGCTGAGCAAAGGCAAACTCATCTCGATGCTTCAAGACAGTGTCCGCCATTTGGAGACGCCTATTCCGCTCATGTTCGAGATCGTCGCGTAACCCTTGCGTTACGCGATCAAAGAAGCTCTCGGGAACACACGGATCCCCATGATCGTGTGGAGAGCGTCTTTCCTCCTCCTCCACCTCCATTAGAGGACTCTCGCGGTGACCAGCGCTATCTAGTTGAGCAGCTGTTGAACCACCGCGACGTGAACGGACGTCGGACGAGTTATCTCGTCCGGTGGCGCGGCTGTCCCCCGTCCTGGGATACTTGGGAGCCCCGCTCCTAACTGATGATCGACGTACTGGGTCTGGTTGAGCAGTAAGACGCGACACATCCTGTGCCGCAGAAGGACCGCCGGAGAAAGTCTTCCCGGCACGGTCGTAAAGGGATTTCAGGTTGTCAATCCCTTCGTACATCTCACTAGAGATACGTACGCGCCACTACGGGCTAGTAAGGAGGTAAGCCTCCTTAGGTGCTCGTGCAGAGTTGTTCACACAACATGGGCACGAGTCTCCCCAAGAGAGGCAGGGTAATTTCTTCTCCCTTGACAGACGATGCAGCTTGTAGCGTGCACCTGTCGGGGTTCGCTTTTCAAACTTATCACGAGCTTTGATAAGTTTGTCGTTCCAAACGTCACGACCTACATCCTCAAGGTTATGGATGTAAGCGTTCCACGCTTGAAGCAGTGAGGGACCACCACGTTTGTGATTCCCACTGTACCATCGATGTTTAAAGAAAGCATCGATGAAGAATTCATTCTCAGCGCGATAGTTTTTCGCACTGGGGTCAAGGTGATGGATCCTTGACGAATCGAACAATCGTGTTCGATAGCGATCACTCGTCGTCGCCGAAAAGAGATCCATGACGGATTTGGGAGGCAGCCATGCCTTCTTTTTGGAAGCGAGACGCAACACGGTGCGGTCCCGCTCTTCTTGCGACGTGCTGACAGAAGTACTGGCACCTCGTTGCGAAGTGGTGTCAATAGGAGAACCGACACCACTGTTAGCGCCCGAGTCTTGCGACTTCGAGCGCCTTCGCTTCGGCGATGGTTCATCTGATTTATCGGTTGAACCAAAGATGCTGCGACGCATAGCATCATCCATGCCACGCTTGGCAAGTGGCTTGGTTTCAACCGCCGTCGATACGGATCCGTCTTCCGTATCAGGAGAAAATGAGACACTGAGCTCATACTCTGTGAAGACATGAGTGTCTTTATGACGAGCGTCTGCATTACCAGGTGAAACAGGCTGAGTCGCTTCAGCAACCGATGAGACATCAGTTGCTGTGGTTTCTGCTTCGGCGTCCGCACAAAGACGTGCGGGCGCGCTCTCGGCGGCCTTGCTCGCGCATCGCATGGACTTGTTAACCATGCGATGAGATGTTGGAAAGTGGACTCGGACCAACAAGTGCAAACCCCGTCCCAAATGATTTGGGAGGATTATCCATTTAGTCAATCAGTCACTAAAGTGACTGATGGTTAGGGGGGGTGATGTAACGGGTGAATCGTTACATAACAATTTATAAGAAATTGTTAAGAGAATACAACTACATGAGTTACATTCTCAGAATATTGTCATAAGGACAAATATTCTGTAGCACTTACGAGTAAATCCTAATTGGTTGATATAGGCCATTATATCAACCAACGAAGACCCGCCACGACAGACGCACGCAATGAGTGGTGAGCAGATAGTTGATTTACACATTTGTATTTAGACATAGTTAGATGTAGATAAATAGTGATATTTTGCAGACTTTAACTATTATAAATACAGTTCTACTTTTTACTTTAACCAAGTACCCGCTTCTTCTTACCGTCTTCCTCTGCACGTACGAGTGTACGTGAAGTTACGAGGCACCGCCTTATTCTGTCATCAGAATAAGTAGCTTGTACTGTCACCAGTACAAGCTTCAGGGTGGCCCGTTACACCTGGTAGCAGGCGGCGCGACAAGACAAAGGGCTTGCAACAGCACACGCATTGGCTTGGCAGACAGCCCGTGGCAGATGATCCGAGTACCACTCGCTGGTCGCTGTAGCTGCAAGGTCGACCCATTGTACTTCTACTATTGCAGTCGGTAGAATAGACATCAGTTCCCATCAAATTGCAAGAAATTGCCAACGGACCAAGAGGTTGTAGTCAGCAGTCGATATCACGGCATACCTCGCGCAATAACTGTATCCCAACGTCGTACGTCATGTTGGCTGCGCGATTGCTCTGGCCACGCTTAACGTACATGAAAATATCATCCAAAGCCTCAACGTGCAACATTCGTCGTCTTTATGTCGCCCCGTGATGCATGCGTAAACGATCGGAGTGGAATGACAATGCCTTGTCGTGACCAAGAAGGTCGAGTCAGGGGAGATAAGGATGTGAGTGACAAGGCAGCTCCGTCAACAGAAGTTCATCCGATGTTGGCCATGATGAAAGATGTGATAGACATGGAGTGCTCCGATGAACACGAGGCCAGCAAAAAGACAAAAGAAATTGACCGTATTAAAAGGTGACGTAGTTTTTGCCTACGTATCATCGTCCTTTCGACTCCAAACGGGATTCTGACTTCACTACTTGACATGGCATTCCAGCTCTTTGTCAGTCAGTGGTGAAGAATTTGCAGTCGCGTTGTTGTGCTGTAAACATTATCCTACGCGACACTGCACATTTCTGCACCTCTATTCAAACACTAGCATTGACGCGCCGACAGTGCAGCGGCTTGTAGCCCCATGCAGACTCGTGTTGAATTAAATTGGTTTGTGCTAGGTCCTTGATTGCATGTTGAAACTGCTGTTCGTGCAAAGGTGCCATCACCGGGCACGACTTGGCCAGGGACGGTTGGCATTTGGGCAGGCGTTATATCTAATGGAAGGAAGACTAGCTGTTGTATTAGTGAGATGGCTGGACAAGCTACTTCTATAGGAAGCAGAACGACAGTGAGCCGATCAGCAAAGCAGAGAGACGTCAACTTTTCTTGGAGCGTGAGATTACGACGGGTAGATCAACAATTACAACGCAGAGACAGACATGTAGCTCAATGGATACGCTCGGCTGTAGAAAGTCAGACATTCGGGCGATGTCAAGCACTGCAACGGAGTTCTGTGATCGAATATGATACATATACAGCAACGACAACAAAGACAGATAGGAAGAAAGTTTGAGCGTTCGCAACTAGTTTGGAGTGATGCTTAGCACGTGTCACTTGCAATTGATTTCGACTACTAGTAGAACTCTCACTGCCTGTATGCACACACTTGAGCGCATCATCCGCGACCAGTTTAACGATCAAACAGACGCATTCTTGTCAGTAAACGGAGCTGTGAACTTTTGCGTTTCTCTGTGTGGGGTATAATCACGAATTGAAGCATGACAAGGGAAATGCTTACGACCTTGCGACACATCGGATGCCGTCGACCCAAGCATACAAAGGAGAAGAGAAACCCCATCGCAGGGACACGGTGGCTGCATTGCGCGAACAAGACAAGGCTTGAGTGAACGGCGATGGCTTGGCTCTGCGAGCTCGGGCGTGCTAGCCCTTATGGATTGAAAAAGTCATGAGAAAGAGAGAGAGGAACGGACCGTCTATTTACAAACATTAAGTTGTGCAAGACGTCTAGAAGTAAGCCAGGTTTGCAACGCCGGTTTCCATTGCTCCGGTGGTTGTATGTGTCTCACCGCTGTGCACGGTTCTCTTGAGGGTGATATGGTCAACATTCTAATGCATTGCATGAGAATGGTACCGCTCACCCGTGTAGATAGATATCTGTCGACGCTCTCGTGTCGCCAGTGCTTGTAATTGCCGAATTCCGTGTATTTAAAGCTCTTGAATACATCCCGCCTGCTTTACGCTCTTACCTTCATGAACCACTCACTTGAGCTGAACTTATAAGGTTGCAATGCGTACCGAACATAGTACCCACCATATACGCTTCCATTGAGATACATACGCCGGCAGGATGTCCCTGAACGCTCTTTGCAGCCACCTATAGATGAGGGAAGACAACGGCAGTGGCCTCCTGCCATGCAGAGACATTCGTAATTCTGAAGGCTGTATGGTGTCGCAGTGTAACCGGTCCAGTAGGCAATAATAGCCTGCCATCACCCTTGAGCGACCGGACATCCTCAAAAGATGTGATCGACCGTCACTTTTTTGTCACTTCAGGTAGGTGTTCTCCGGCAGCAAAAATTGAGTTTCCTGCCGGGGGTTTAAAATAAACTGTTGTAGTACCATCCGGTAATTGACCCATACTTTTTAAGAAGTGATCGCGTTACGGTGACATCACAGCTCTCGCGGTGTCTGTTGTAAAGTAGCCAATTGCCTCTATTTTTAATCGGCCGATTGAAGTACTCTTTGAAGTAATCCTGTGAGGCTCTGCCCAATTCCTCTTTGACGCGTGCGTACGACTGACTTTTAAGATGCCGAATGACGTGACGATTGGATACAGACAAGATAACCTAACACAGAAAACCATGTAAGGCCGGGTGTGCTTCCACGACGAGTCCTTGGAAGTGTTGAGCTTGTCTTAAGTCGTCTACGTCAAGCCAGCAAGTTAAAAGGGTGGTCGTTGCCTTTGCTATCACCCAGTGTAAACCGTCAGTCTTTTGCTGGAGCACAATCTATCCACGCTCGGTGCTTGTTAACGTACCTGCCACCCCATGTACACGTCCTTCACCCCCAACTGACCATCGATAAGGCATGCGGAGCTTCGGTGAATTCTTAAGCGTCACCACACTTTGCACTTCGCATTTTTGCAGTAATTTCGAGTGTTAAGCTGCTCAAGATGATCGCCAATGCCCACCGTGTCAATTTGCGATCCGTGCAATAATGCGTTACACCTGGCGCCAAGAGCACGTGTAGAACGTCCGTAGTGAGCCCTATACGCTCCATACCCGAGTCGACGAGTATACAAAGCTGAATCTGGTCATGCTTTCTTGCTGTCAGTAGGTTCCCCAATCCATCCCGGAGTCATGGATTGGCCACCCAGTGATCAATTGGCCGGAACTGCTAAACCTCGGCCGAAAATGAATACGATGCGTCTGGTAATGGTTCCACCAAAGAAATAGTTAGCCTACACCCTTCCCGCGACCCTATCGTCTGTGGGATGAGAAGTGAATGACAAGAATGTAACGGGGTAGCCCGTTACATAAATTTACATCAACCGGTGTCAATAGGTATATTGTCTAGCAAGTCTATTCCCTAGCAATGTTATCTGAGATGGATTATCTTGAAGGAAGAATTTTCCCATTGTAGGATTAATTTCATGCGCTGCTCAAAGTTTGTTTGATTAAGACAAACAAACAATAGATTACCACCAATCGCTGCTAGACGAGCTTAATGAGTTGTGTGCAGGTTGTTGTCACACGACAATGCAGATTAATGTAGTTTAATCGGGACTGAAGTTATATTGATAGTTGAACTATATTAAATACAGTTTTCTTTTGACCCTATACCCGAACTATCTGTTTGAGTAGATTAGCTTCCTCTGCACGTTCTAGTGTACGCGAAGTTTCGTGGTGCCCAACCCAAAAAAGGGGGCCACGTTTCACCTGGTAGCACCTTGTAGTCCGTCCAACGACTACTTAGTGTCCGTCCAACATGAAAAAGTTGGACTTCGAAGACGACTGCTTTCACGTCACACGTGCAGGCTGCTCCCATCTGAGTGACTCAGAATGGGAGGTAGTCGGCCGCATGAGTGTGCTCATGGGCGAACCCGCCATCAGTGGTATGTTTCAGTTTTTAAGAGAGACCAGCAACAAGCTGCTATCAACAAGTTCCTACAAATGGAACTTGCTGTCAAAAGACAGAAGATAGCCTTACTACAGCAGCAAGGCTCTTATCAGCCGATAGGCAGGCCGATGCACATGCGTCGACCAAAAAAATTAAAGATAGACATCTCAAGGTGCAAGGGAACCGATGAAGATTCTCTTTTGAGATGGTTCGTCCAGTTAGATGAAGCCATCAGGACCCGTCACATCGAGGGGGCGAGATGCAAATCACTTTCGCCCTGTCAAATTTGACAGGACGAGCAAAGACTTGATCCTTAGGGCTTAAGCTTCACAACCCAACGTGTTTTAGTCGTTCGAGATTTTGAAGACTCGGCTTAAAGAGACGTTTATGCCGAGAGTCGAGTCCAGAGCACGCTCTGCACTCAGTAGGATTAAAGCAAGGTAAGCGTGACGTGCACGCTTACGCACAGCACCTGTGCTAACTTGCAAGTAGCGTTACGGAGAACCCTATTGATAAGCATGCGCTCATCAACGTGTTCATCTACGGCCTTGCAAATGGGCCGGTGAAGACCTACATGTTCCGAGAGGATTTCCATACGCTGGAAAGGGCGATAGCGTATGCGAAACAAGAAAACTTCGGCCTGAGACAGTCTCAGGCTAACTCGTCAAATTATCGTCCGACGAGAAGACAGGAAACAAGAGGTCCCGAGCCAATGGAACTCTGTTATGTAGAGAGCGAGAACTCTCGCTCTCTGAGTCACAAGTGAATGTCAAGATGCCATCGCTGTCAGAAGATTGGGCACTACGCTCATGAGTGTAGTGTCCCAAGCACCATAACATGTCCAAAGACAGGACGTGATGACCACCGTTGGCCAAGGAAAGGTCAGAGGCGTGGTTCCGACCATTTCGCTAAGCGGTGACAGCAAGTCGGACCGCCAGAAAAAACGGACAGGGTCAGTAAGGGCGGCGCACCCTGCTAATCCAGCAACGTCAAGAGAAATTGCAGGACTCTTGACGAAGATTTCTCCCAACACACAGTCGCTGTGTTCTACTGCCCCTGCTGATGAGGTGTCCCTCATCACTTTAGATGTCGAAGTGACAATTAGAATGTCACTTCGCGCCCTAGTTTAAAGTGGGGCGTGGAATAGTTTTATTCGACGCCAGTCGCTAAGGGATAGTGGGCTCAACTATGTTGAGCGAGCGTTCCCCATAACGAAGATGATGGTGTGCCTTGCTACGTGCGCATCCGTAGCAGTGAACAAACGTGTAGTGGGTTCCCACTACACGCTGGAAGGAAAGCAGTACGATGATGACTTTATCTTATTAGATTTGGATGACAAATATGATGTCATCCTTGGTCTGCCGTGGCTTAGAAAATACCGGCCATGGGTCAGCTGGCAGTACTGATCCGTGAAGATGCCTGCCGTTTGTTCATCGGATGGCCATCTGATGAACGTCTTGGAGCGTCCACAAGCGTGTGGATATTCTACGAGTGAGCGCGATGGTCTCACTTGTGGTACGGTCGTTAGTACGATTGCACAAGATCACAGTGTAGAAGGCCACTGCACTGTGGAACCAGCTTCCGGCACCTCTGTAGAGACACAGGCTGAGCTAAAGGTTCACCACTCGAAGGGATCGAGTGGAATGTACCACGGATGCAAACCAAGAAGAGTGCATCCGAGAAAAGAGACTTGTGTTGTTCAGGATGAACAAAACGTTGAAGCGAGATCGTCTATCAGAGAGGGATTGTAGAGCAAGCCCGATCGACTGAAAGAGAGTCGATCGAAGAGGACGTGAGTGTGGTAGTACTTCCACAGTCAGTACACGTAATGGAAGAAAGTTCAGCGTCTCTGAGATCAATGACTCCTTAGATAGTTATGTCGAGGCTGTGGATCCCCAACCAACTTTGGATGTGTTTTCCCAGGAATCATCGAGTCAGTAAGTGTATTGGTGAATGAAGGATCAAGCGTAGGCGCTTACACACTTATTCTGGTTACACCTCCGAAGTCAGCTTCGGAGGTAGTCTAGTTGCCAACGCTAGAATCTTGAATATTCTTGCGGGATCTGCCTAGTGACAAGGTCAAGCAGATCTGCGTACAAGTCACAGAGGACAAGTACATTGCCGATATTCGGCCAGCACAAGTGTTTGCTGAGAATGAATGGGTTCTCAGTAGCTCATCGATGGGAGAGAGTGGCCTCGATGAGAAGACCCGGATTGAGCGATACACGTCTTAATCTTGGGAGTCTTTGAAGACAAATACTTCTTATATGGATTTGGTTGAATTCAGGGATGTTTTCTCTGAATCCATGCCATGCGAGCTGCCCAAGGACAAAGGCACTCGGCGTGAGATTGAACTGAAACCCGGTTCGACGAACTGTACCATGTAGAAAGTGGCCACTGCCTCATGAACAGGTCACAGCGATCGACAAATTCGTTGCCAATCGCTTAGCTTCAGTCCATGTAAGGGAATCAACATCCCCACACAGCTCTCCGACCTTCTGTGTGCGAGAGGCCACGGTGGGGGGGGAAGGTGGAGGATAGTGCACGCGGTTAACAAATTGAACGCTGCAACGGTACCGGCTAAGACGCCGATGTCGTGGAAGAACATCATCACAGATGGTATGGAAAAGTGTACCATCTTTTCGTCCATGGATCTGATGGATGGATTCTATCAGATCCTCATGCGCAAACGGGACATCCCGTACACAGCAGTGAGCACCCCCAGTGGTATGCTCTGGGGGTGGCTAGTGATGCCACTGGGGATAAGTAATGCCCCCGCAACGTTTAACCGATGTGTTACGAATCTGTTGCGATCGGTGCGCGACTTCGCTTCGAGTTACTTTGAAGATGTCTTCTTCTATAGCCGGGCTATGGATGGAAAGACGGAATTATAAGTTTAAGAGATTCCACGTCCGGAAGATGCTTACACTTATGCGAAAGCATAAGTTGTTGTGAACCTCAAGAAGTGTACCTTCGCAGAGAACAAATAACCACTTCTTGGCTGCAAAGTGGGTTAAAAAGGTGTACGCCCTGATCTGAAAAAGATCGAGGCGATTAGCGACTGGCCCGTGGCAGTCAACGTCAGGGGCTTAAAAAGTTTCTTGGCTTAGCGGAGTACTTGCACAAGTACTCGCGCAACTACGCCAAGATGACCGTACATGCGCAGAAGATAAGTCTCTTCTGCGGCTAATATATTACTTAATCAACTCATGCAGTCAAGCTTTGAGCGTCTTGACGTCTCAATACCGCTCTTCAACCGAATGGTATTCGGTTCGTGATGGACTGCTGTACAATACAGCAGTCAATGTCGACACACCTCGTGTCGTCGTTCTCGCTTACGATGATATGCATTTGCGCATCATGCATGGGTGTTAAGATGCCCCGACCAGCGGGCATCGCGGTAGAGAAAAAACTCAACTCACGGTAAGTCGTGACTTCTACTAGCTCCGCCAGTATGAGTTCGTGTGGAAATACATCGCGCTTGCAAGGTTTTCCAGCGGGTGTAGCCTAGGCATTCATCCCGTGCACTCTTAAAGCCTCTTCCGATTCCGGCAGAGTTTTGGCAGTCTGTATCGATGAACTTCGTCTTCGGGTTTCCCAAATACTTTCACAAGAATACTCGAATTCTTAAATTTGTTGATCAGTTCAGCAAGATGATACATCTTGTTGCTGTACCGGAGTCAATCACAGCCCAGGGCTGTGCGCGTGTCTTCATCGATTCTATCTTCCGACGTCACGGGTTACCCCTTCAACTCGTGTCTGATAGGGACCCTCGCTTCACAGCGGAGTTATGGCATTCCGTGTTCCGACCACTTCGAATACATGTGAAGATGTCGACTTCTGACCACCCAAAAACATATGGTCAGACGACCCGCGTCAACCTCCTCCTTGAGGAAATACTTCGAGGGTATGTTCACTTGTTTGCGAGTTGGAGTGAGTTCTTGTCGATGGTGGAATTTACTATCAACAACTCCGTGCATGCGTCGACAACGCATACACCTTTCTACGTGAATGGCCTACGACATCCACGTCTACCCGCCTTCTTAGAGTGTGAATCTAGTTTAGGGGGGGGAGGTGGACTCGCTCGAACAAAAACCGATCTGGTTCTTGATCATCACACGTCGACAATGGTGTCGACGTGATGGATGCCGATGTCGATGAGATCGGTGTCGATGATGATGATGACGACGATGCTGGCATATTCAGCATCGCCAATGACTGCCAAAGTGAGGACGATGACGTCTTTACTGGTAAAGACAACGTTCTCTCAGCAGTGCACACGAAGCGCACTGCTGTTGACAAGGATGAATCAGCAGAGAAATTTCAGCTGACTCGCGAAGCGGTTGTCTGCTTCGTTTAAGACTCTATTGCAGACGTACTAGACAGACAGAAGAGAAACGCAGACAAACATGGAAGAGCAAATGTTCTTTCACACGATATAGATGACCTAGTTTAACTGTCTACATTATACTTACCGAAACACGCAGTGACAAACTTGGGCAGCAGTAAATTACTGCCCAAGTAAATCGGTCTATTTTGTGTGTTGCGCCGATTGGGCAACGCACACACGACTGAACTGCCCCATAAGATGCGTACCACCGAGATTTGAAGAACGCATCGGTGAAGAATTCTTCCATAGCACAGATAGTTTTCGTTCTGAAAACAAGAAGACAAATCACCCTGCAGTCGAACAAGGGATTTGATCTCGTTCGGTTGTCGTGCCGAACAACCGGTCCAACTCTCTGGATGGCGGCATCCACGGAGACTCCACTTGAGGATCATGGCGCAGGGCATGATGGTCCCTGGCCTCTTGATTGGTGCCCGCATGAGCACTGGCACCAGTGTTACCCCGATCCCTTAATTTATTCCACTCGTGGTGATGTATAGGTGCATCACCACCATCCACACGAGTCATATCGTTGGATGGACTTGCGTGAGGCGAAGATTCATCGGAATAATCGCTCGATCCGAAGATCTTGAGCATGATGCCGACACGACAACCAGGGCCAGTCAACCTGGCTCTTGCAGTGTCCGCACCGGATAATACGGAGGCGTGAGGTGTCGCCTTCGAGTCGGATATAACATTCTACTCGCCCGAATAGACGATCTGTATTTCAGGCTCATCTGGATTACAATTCGCGGTACCCGCTGCAGACGCAGCGGATGTATCTGCCGCATGTGGTGACTCACCACGTGGACATTTCAGAACAGCAGGCGCAGGATAACATGATGCTGAGGCAGAAGAAGTTCTCTCTTCGGCTGCACGCATCAGGTGCAACCGCCTTTCTTGCTGCTTCGGCATCTCACCGCATGGACTTTGACACCATGAGATAAATCGGCACATGTATTGTAATTTGACCAGCAAGTGCTCCCCTTTCCAGAGTGATCCAACGGTGGTCATCCTGCCCCAATCACTTAAATTCAATCAACTGGTGATTGATGGATAGAGGGGAGATGTAACGGTGTATCCCTTTACATGACATTGGCAATAACCGGTGTCAATAGGTACATTGTCTAACATGTCCATTCCCCACCAATGTTATCCGAGATGGATAATGTTGAAGGAATGTTATTTCTATTGTAGGACAATATTCATGCGCTGCCCAAAGATTGGTTGATGAAGACGTATCAACCAAGGTTACCACCTATTGCTGCTAGACGCGCGTGATGAGTGGTAAGCAGGTAAATTACATTGTCGTTGTAACGGGGCACCCTATAGGTTGTACTGGTGACAGTACAAGCTACTTATTCTGACGACATAATAAGGCGATGCCTCGGAACTTCACGTACACTGGTACGTGCAGAGGAAGACGGTAAGAAGAAGCGATTACTTGGTTTAAGTAAAAATTAGAACTGTATTTATAATAGTTAATGTCTGTTAATAAACCACTGTTTATCCTCATCTAACTATGTCTGAATACAAATGTGTAAATCAATTATCTGCTCACCACTCATTGCGTGCGTCTGTCGTGGCGTGTCTTCGTTGGTTGATATAATGGCCTATATCAACCAATTAGGAACTACTCGTAAGTGCTGCAGAATATTTGTTCTTATGACAATATTCTGAGAATATAACTCTTATAGTTATATTCTCTTAACAATTTCTTATAAATTGTTATGTAACGATTCACCCGTTACATCACCCCCCCCTAACCATCAGTCACTTTAGTGACTGATTGACTAAATGGATACTCGTCCCAAATCATTTGGGACAGGGTTTGCACTTGTTGGTCGGCGTCCACTTTCCAACATCTCATCGCATGGTTAACTAGCCCATGCGATGCGCGAGCAAGGCCGCCGAGAGCGCGCCCGCACGTCTTTGTGCGGACGCCGAAGCAGAAACCACAGCAACTGATGTCTCATCGGTTGCTGAAGCGACTCAGCCTGTTTCACCTGGTAATGCAGACGCTCGTCATAAAGACACTCATGTCTTCACAGAGTATGAGCTCAGTGTCTCATTTTCTCCTGATACGGAAGACGGATCCGTATCGACGGCGGTTGAAACCAAGCCTCCTGCCAAGCGTGGCATGGACGATGCTATGCGTCGTAGCATCTTTGGTTCAACCGATAAATCAGATGAACCATCGCCGAAGCGAAGGCGCTCGAGGTCGCAAGACTCGGGCGCTAACAGTGGTGTCGGTTCTCCTATTGACACCACTTCGCAACGAGGTGCCAGTACTTCTGTCGGCACATCGCAGGAAGAGCGGGACCGCACCGTGTTGCGTCTCGCTTCCAAAAAGAAGGCATGGCTGCCTCCCAAATCTGTCATGGATCACTTGTCGGCGACGACGAGTGATCGTTATCGAACACGATTGTTCGATTCGTCAAGGATCCATCACCTTGACCCCAGCGCGAAAAACTATCGCGCTGAGAATGAATTCTTCATCGATGCTTTCTTTAGACATCGATGGTACAGTGGGAATCACAAACGTGGTGGTCCCTCACTGCTTCAGGCGTGGAACGCTTACATCCATAACCTTGAGGATGTAGGTCGTGACGTTTGGAACGACAAACTTATCAAAGCTCGTGATAAGTTTGAAAAGCGAACCCCGACAGGTGCACGCTACAAGCTGCATCGTCTGTCAAGGGAGAAGAAATTACCCTGCCTCTCTTGGGGAGACTCGTGCCCATGTTGTGTGAACAACTCTGCACGAGCACCTAAGGAGGCTTACCTCCTTACTAGCCCGTAGTGGCGCGTACGTATCTCTAGTGAGATGTACGAAGGGATTGACAACCTGAAATCCCTTTACGACCGTGCCGGGAAGACTTTCTCCGGCGGTCCTTCTGCGGCACAGGATGTGTCGCGTCGTTCTGCTCAACCAGACCCAGTACGTCGATCATCAGTTGGGCGCGGGGCTCCCAAGAATCCCAGGACGGGGGACAGCCGCGCCACCGGACGAGATAACTCGTCCGACGTCCGTTCACGTCGCGGTGGTTCAACAGCTGCTCAACTAGATAGCGCTGGCCACCGCGAGAGTCCTCTAGTGGAGGTGGAGGAGGAGGGAAAGACGCGCTCCACACGATCATGGGGATCCGTGTGTTCCCGAGAGCTTCTTTGATCGCGTAACGCAAGGGTTACGCGACGATCTCGAACATGAGCGGAATAGGCGTCTCCAAATGGCGGACACTGTCTCGAAGCATCGAGATGAGTTTGCCTTTGCTCAGCTTGAGAACGAGAGAGCTCTGACATCTCTTCGTGACGAGCTAAGGGTAGCTCGTGGGAATGTTGATCGGTCTCGGGATGAGATAGCTGCTCTTCAGACCCTTGTTGATGCCCACCATCGGGAGCACAAGGCTCTCTGCGAGATGCTTCAGCGCAAGGGCATTCTTCATCGGAAGAAGCAGCGTACGGATGGTACGGCTTAAGCCGACCAACGTAAAACGTGGGATGCGTTCGCATCTTACGTGGTAACTCGATCGTGTATGCATTGCCTAGGCGGTGCAATACACGAAATGAGCCGATGTACTTGGGTAGTAGTTTACTGCTACCCAAGTTAGTCACTACATGCTTTGGTAGATTAACCGTAGACAGTAGGACTAAGTCACCTTTATTAAATAAAAGAGTGTTTGCCCTTCCATTCTTATCAGCGTTTTGCTTTTGCTTATCCACCGCTTCGGCGATGGAGTCTTGCACAAAACGGACTACCGTTTCACGAGCCAGTATGAACTCATCTGATGACTCGTTAGCTTCAGTGCGCTGTGAGCGCACTGCAGCAACATCAATCTTTTCTTCAGTGAGGGCTTCCGCACTCTCACTGGCATCATCTTCTTCGATATCAATGTTATCTATATCGGCATCAAACGCAATGACCTCTTCGTCAGAGCGTGATGAGCGTGACCCAAATCGGTTTTTGCTCGCGCGAGTCCCTCCCCCCCTTAAACCAGAGTTACACTCTAGTAAGGTGGGTACACACGGATGGCGCAAGCCATTCACGTAAAACGGTGTATGTGTCGTGGACGCACGCACCGAGTTGTTGATGGCAAACTCTACCATTGGCAAAAACTCACTCCAACTCTTAAAGGAGTGTACGTATCCTCGAAGTATCTCTTCGTGGACACGACTGGCACGTTCCGTCTGACCATCTGACTCTGGATGGTCAGATGTAGACATTTTCAAGCGCGTTCCGAGTGATTTGAACACGGAACGCCAGAAATCAGCAGTGAATCGTGGATCTCTGTCTGATACGAGTTCACGGGGCAACCCATGAATTCGGAAGATGGTGTCAATAAAGACGCAAGCACAGCCACTTGCCGTGATGGACTCGGGTACAGCCACAAGGTGCACCATTTTGCTGAATCTGTCAACAAATACGAGAATACCCGTATTCCCCGCGTGCGTCTTTGGGTAACCCGAAGACGAAATAGATAGAGAGATGGATTTCAGCACTCTGCCGGGCCTGGTAGAGGCTGTACAGGTGCACGCAGTGAAGGACTTGACTTCACTCGTTGACAGACTTCGCATGCGCGAGCATACTTTCGCACAAACTGATACTGGCGGGGCCAGTAAAAGACTCGACTCACCGTGAGATATGTTTTCTCCCGGCCACGATGCCCTTCTATAGAAGCATCGTGATACTCGAACATGATCCGCAAACGCAGATCAGTATCATCTGGAATGACAACACGTGGTGTGTCACCAGTAACGGCTGTATAGTACAGTAAACCGTTACGAGTAGTGTATCGATCTGATGCAGATCGATACGCAGACGATAATTGTTTCAACGATTCTCGAGATGGTTGGGAGAGATGTGACAACAACTTCACAATCTCACCATCTTGGGCGTATACCCGCCTCACATTATCATGCAACGTTGAAGATGGTACTGAGGACGTCATAACCGCAACAGTGGCTGTCTCACTGTTGGGTTTCACGACTGGTTCAAAGTCGGGACGACGTGAGAGTGCATCAGCGACGACATTAAGTCGTCCTGGTGTGGACTCGACCGTAAAGTTGTACTCTGCAAATAATTACAACCACCGCGCCATTCGTTGTGAAAGGTGCGGGCTGTTCACTGCCGTGCGTAATGACGCATGGTCAGTGTAAACAATGAAGGGTCTATCTCCTAATAGATAGACTCTGAACTTCGCGAGTGCGTACTTCATGGCAAGCAGTTCCTTGTCATGCACTGGATAGTTCCGCTCGGCTGGTTGCAGCTGACGCGACTGATAGCAGACGACGCGTTCAACGCCTTCAAGATCGTACTGCATTAATGCACAGCCGAAAGCGAAATCACTGGCATCACAGACCACATGAAATAGCCTGTCCTGATCGGCTATTGCTAGGACTGGGGATTGTATCAAGATCTCCTTGATACCCTCAAAGGAGCGCTGACATTCAGCGTTCCATAACCACCTCTCGTTCTTTTTCAACAAACGAGAGAGGTGCACAGTCATCTCGGCGTAATTGCGTGAATACTTATGCAAATACGCCGCTAGCCCAAGGAATTTTCGAAGACCTTTGACATCGACCGGCACACGCCAGTCGGTGATCGCCTTGATCTTTTCGGGATCAGGACGTACACCGTTCTTACCAACGATGCACCCAAGAAGTGGTATTTCGCTTGCTGCAAATATACACTTCTTGAGGTTTGCATACAATTGATGCTTTCGCATGATTGTAAGAACTTGTCGGACGTGATACCTGTGAACCTCAACGTCCGACTTTCCATCCATAGCCCGACTATGGATGAATACGTCATCGAAATAACTCGGCGCAAATTCTCGTACTGGTCTCAACAGATGTGATACACATCTGTTGAACGTGGCAGGGGCATTACTAAGCCCTTGTGGCATTACTAGCCATTCCCAGAGCATGCCGCTAGGCGTGCTAACTGCGGTATAGGGTATATCCCGTTCTCGCATAAGGATTTGATATAAGCCATCCATCAAATCCATGGACGAAAAGATGGTGCTCTTTGACATACCATCAATGATTACGTCCTTCCTTGGTATCGGCGTCTGAGCCGGTACCGTTGCAGCATTCAATTTGTTGAACGCATGCACAAATCCGCCACCCTCCTGTTGCGTTTCGCACACAGAAGGTCGGAGAGCTATGTGGGGAAGTTGGTTCCCTCACATGGCCCACATCTAAAAGATCGGCAAAGAACTAGTCGATCGCAAGTACTTGTTCACAAGGCAGTGGCCACTGCTTTATGACACAGTACTTCGAGCCTGGTTTAAGCTCGACCTCGTGTCGAGTACCTTTATCCTTCGGTAATTCGCACGGAACAGTTTCAGGGAATACATCCTTGAATTCAACCAAATCTTCATAGATAGGATTTGTCTTGAGCGATTCCCACGATTGGGAGTCATATCGCTCAATTCGTGTCTTTTCATCTAGGACACTCTCGTCCATTGATGAACTACTGAGAACTCTCTCGTTCTCAGTAAACATTGTTGCTGACCTTATGTCGGATACACACTCGTCGTCAGCGACGAGTACGCAGATCTGCTTGACTTTGCCACTACGCAGATCACGCAAGAACCTTTTATGTTCGAGCGTTGGCAACTGAGTGATCTCCGAAGTCAACTTCGGAGGCGCAATCAGATCAAGTGTATAAGCGCCTACGCTTGATCCGTTATTGACTATGACATTCAATGTCTCTGTCATTTCCTGGGGACTTATTCCCTCAGACCTCGAAGGACTTATTCCTTCGGCTTCCCGGGGACTTATTCCCGCGGGTTTCGAGGAACTTATTTCCGCCGTATTTGTAATATTGTGACTTATTCCCTTTACTTCCTCTAGCTGGGGTTGCGCAACCACAGCGAGATCCTCTACGAAAGACTCTCCAGTCGATCTAGTATTATCGTTTTGCTTAACCTGAGCGATCGATCGTTTCTCTTCTAGATGTTCCCGCTAGGGATGCATCTTTGTCCCGGTCCACTCGACTGACTCGAGTGGTGGACCTTCGGCGCAGCCTGTGTTTCCTCACAGCCGCCGGAACTTTGCTCCGAAGTGTAACTGTTTGTTACACTAAGGTTTTGTGCAGTCGTACCAACGACCGTACCACAAGTGAGGCCATCGCACTCACTCGTAGTACATGTACACGCTTGTGGACGCTCCAAAACGTTCATCAGATGGCCATCTGATGAACAAGCGGCGGGCATCGTTACTGTTCGATGTTGCCAGTTTACCCGTGGTTCGTACCTTCTGAGCCACCGTATTCCAAGGATGACATCAAAATTTGTCATCCAAATCCAATACGATAAAGTCATCGTCATACTGGGTATATTCTAGCGTATAGTGGATCCTCACTATACGCTTCATGACGGTTACGGATGCGCCTGTCGCAAGACGTACCGTCATCCTCGTAGGAGGTGTGTCACATTCACTGAATTTAAAATGACCATCTTCTAGCGATTGGCGTCGCACAAAATTTTTGGACGCCCCACAATCGATTAGAGATCGAAGGGACAGCTTAATTGTCACTTCGAGTTTCAAGGTAATGAGTGAGACCTCATTGCCTAGAGCAGCAACGCACAACGTTTGTGTGTTGGGAGCAACCTTCGTCAAGAGGCCTACAAATTCTCTTGACGTTGCTAGACCAGTAGGGTGCTCCGCACCTACTGATCCTGTCCGTTTTTTGACGGTCCATCCCGTTGTTGCGTCTTTGCACCAACAGCGGACCTCGTTCAAGCCGGAACAGGTGAGTCTTGACGGGACCATCCGCAAGACCCTGCATGAACACCGAAACCAACGTGTGTTCATCAACCGGGTTGGAACTTATACAACTCGTGAGATGTCGTATAGGTTGTGCATAAGCTTGCACGTCACGCTTACCCTGTTTGAGCTTCAAGAGTTCGGTTCGAGCTCTGAACGCATCTCTAGGCGGTTCAAACGTTTGTCTGAGCCGCGACTTGAAGACTTCTAACGACCCAAACGCAAATGGGTCGTGCAACTTTAGCCCCAGTGCCCAAGTCTTGGCACGTCCTGCCAGATTTGACTGGGCAAATGCGACTTGCATTTCCCCACCATCGATGCGACGCGCCCTTATGGCGTCATCCAATTCGACGAACCATCTCAAGAGGGAGTCCTCTTCGACTCCCCTATACTTGGAGATGTCAATCTTCAAGGTTTCGGGTCGACGCGAGTGCATCGACCCAGCAGCAGCCTGCTGCTGTCTCAACAGTTCAAACTGTTGAGCACCCTGTTCTCTCAACAACTCTGCTTGTTGAGAACCTTGTTGGTGAAGCAAGACTACTTTCTCGCGTTCTGCGTCAAGTTCATTTTGAATGAACTTGGCAATAGTAGCATGTCGGTCATCTCTATTGAGAGCCTCTAGCATGACGCTAACAGCATGGATGCCCATGGTTGAACCCATTCGTTCAACCGCATCCCATTCGACGTCGCTCAAATGGGAGTAGCC